GTCCAGTAGCGCCGAGGAGCAGCCGCGCTACTGGACCAACCCAGCAGCACCCGAGTTGCTCTGCCCCGGGCTTCCTGGAATCAGCTGCTGATCAGTTTCAGCAGCAGCTGACTTGGGGATGCCTGGGGTTCTTAAGTTGAATCTGTATATAAGTCGGAACTGGTGTCCAGATTCAGCCACTGTTGAAACTGATCAGTTTCAGCAGCGGCTGAATCTGGATGCCAGTTCCGACTTAATACAGATTCCAACTTAAGAACAAACCTACAGTCCCTATCTTGTACATAACCCGGGGACTGCCTGTAGACTTGGAAAAAACAACAACATAGAACTTGAAAGCCTACAAGTCCACTCAGTTCTACTTCTTGTTCAGCCAATCACTAAAACAAGTTAGTTTACCTTTACAGATGATAATGCTGTCAGCTTCTTATTTACAATGTCACTTGAACCGGATAACTGGCACTCAGATTGCACAGTTGTAGCTGGCATTGCAAGGTATTTGTGCCAGATATGCTAATTATTCTTATGCTCTTTTGTGCTTTAACTTTGTACTACTTTTTTTTTACAATGCAGATATTTGCAATAAAAATAATAATGTAAAGTGATCACTCTATGCTTTGTATTCTGCATTGTAATTGAAATCAATATATTTGAAAATGTAGAAAAACATCCAAAATATGTATAATAAATGTAAATGGTATTTTATTATTGTTTAATAATGATTAAAACTGTGATTAATTGTGATTATTTTTTTAAAACATTTGAGAGCCCTACTAGAAATATAAAGTCTCCTTTACATCTGCAGAATGTTTTTTTGCCTTGTGTGTGGGGGGGGTGTTACTTTCGTATAAGATATGATTTGAACTCTAGCATGCCAGGTGCTTCCAATGTGCTGCTGCTAGTGCATTTGACTTTGGCCCCTTTTGATTCCTGCTAAAGGGTTATCAGCAATTGCCTCAGTGAGCAAGCTCTGATGCAGTTCATTTAAATTGGTACAAAGGAAGTGAGGTTACCATCTTTAAAAGCCTCTTATGTTGATTTTTCTAAAGTTGAATGTTCTCATGAACTAAAGGATAACAGGAAACAAGGATGAATTGTTGCAGCTGGGAAAGTGGGTTCAGTAAAGAAATAAAGTTTGAGGACCAAATATACTGCTTTCTTCTACCCATTTAGATTCCAAAACTCCCGGCTCATCATCTTGTTAAGGGTATCCTGCTTGTTAGCAATTCCAAGCTTTACTCAAAGGATCCATCTGAGAAAAGTCTATTTTTTTAAAAATCACTCTTTATTCTTTGGTTTCTAAACACTTTTATCATTAGATGACCTGTGATATAACTGTGTTGTCTTCCCTGGATTTCTCCCAGGGGAAGGTTTGGGTCACACCAATGTTCCCTCTAATTTTTTCCATCCACGTGCAAAGTAAATTTTGTGTGCCCTGAGGTATGTGCGCAGATGTGCACCACTAGTAGAAACATATGCTGCCTGCTGTGGGCAGTCTGCAGATCAGCTAGATGGCATTTGAATCTCTCTTGGAGAGCCACCCATACCCACAACTTTACAGGGAACACTGGTTCTCACACTGCTGACTCTTGTTAAAAAGATAACAACTAAAAGCACTCTCCTTACTTGCAAGGAACTGTCTTTTTGTATTTTTATTTACTAATTCATTTTATTTGTTGTTTATGAGGATTTTTTTTTATTTTACCCCACTTGTCCTCTCTTGTTTTTTCTACATACATAGTCCTAACATTACACATGGGCTGTTTTTCCCTTGCTTCTATTAAAGCAATGTGCAGAACACTAAATCCTGATTTATCTGAACTTCCAGAAACCTGGATTATCAGAAATTGTGTTCTTTCCCCCTAGATGCACCATTGATATAGAATGGTACTCTGTTAACCAAAAGAGATATTTCCTTTCTCATCCACTGTGAGACTGTCTTTAATTCGTGAGGGATTACAGAAGAAAAGAGTAGCTCTGAGCCATAGGGAGCTATAAAGCAGAGACTCGGGCTACTGGTGTGATTGAAGATTTATCCTCAGTTTACCTCCTTTCTGGCAAATTTCAGCTGTTTCTCATGTGTGAACTGTTCATATGCTGCTGCTGCTGGAAATTAGAGGCAACAAAAGTTCTTGAGTACAGGCAGCTGGTGCACATGAACATGACTGTGAACAGGCCTCCAAAGATGTGGACCAGTCTGCAAAGTAAAGGCTTGATTTCCTTGTAGCTCTGTCAGACCTTGGGGGATAGGCATCTGCTGATACTGCCAGTGGTCAGGAAAGAGCCCTGTTGCTTAAGAAGTTTCCTGAATTTTTACAGGACTCTGAGTGATGCTGTGAGAATTGGGCATACAAATGCGTCCTCATTGTAAGCTCAATTGTAAATAAGTATATGAAAGTTCACAAGATGCAATAACTTATAAAACAACAAATGTTGGAGGAAATTGATTGTTTTCAATAATTGTTCTAAAAAGGTATGAAAGTGAGACAAAACTGAATCTGTGTAAACAAAGAAGACTACAGCTAATACTTAGTGGAACCAAAAATTAATGAACCAAAATTGATGTAAAATATTAGACATTATTGCTGGACAAAATAATGGCGGGGGAGAGGGCAGGGAGAGAATGGAAAATAAATCAGAATGAGGCTCTTGGAGCAACTTTGCCATCATGACTGTCCCCCTGTGTCTCCTTTGACCCCAGCCTTTGTCTCCTGATCCCGAGAGATGCCCTGCCCAGAATGGGCCAGAGAGAAGGATGCTGATAGCAGTGCTAGCCCTACCAACTCCATCTGAATCCCCAAAACCACCTGAAATAAAATGGGATCAAACTTGAGCAACAACTCTAGCCTATTTCCACTAACTTATTTTATTACCATCTTGAATACCATCTAAGGGACTGTCAAACAAGGTGGAGGATGGTTCCTTCTAAAAGCTCTCTCCAGATAAAGGAAAAAGAACGAGGGGTGTTGTTGAAATGAAAGTCTGACTGACTACTTTTCATAGAATTTGCTTCAACTTTTCCTCCCCTTCTTTGTATCTTTAATAAACACTTACCAGGGATCTTCAGTGGTTGGTTTGCCATAGTAGTAAGCCAGCTGAGGTCTGTGTATACCAAACCCCAGACCTTTTTTAATGTTGGACAGTGACTGGGTTATGTTAATGCTTTTGGCTCAGGTTTTCCATCTACATTAATACAACAGTGAAATGAATATCCATTTGCAGACTGATTTGCATAGTTGAGGCTTTTGAAGTATTTGTGTCCGTGTAACAGAATTATCATTTCTTTTCTCGTTAGGGTTTAGCAGCGAGTACCTTTGGGAAGCAGGAAGATGATGAGTGACGCGAGTGACATGTTGGCTGCCGCTTTGGAACAGATGGACGGCATTATAGCAGGTCAAAACACTGTGCTGTTTGTTTAACCGGTTCCCAACCCTCCTTTTTGTCTCTGTAGGGCTGAGTTCCAGTAGGAGGAGGATACAAATAGAACTGTGTTTGATGGTTTCCTACTAACTAGTTGTGAAACTTAAACGGAGCAGACAAATTTGAAAGAGGATAGCACAAATCCTTGCATACACATAATGCCAGTTTGATTGTGGCTTTTCTCCTACCTCCCCATGTCTATGGGAAATGTGGTTCAACTTGAAGGACTAGAATAGCCAATGGATATTTCAGATCAGGATTAGTGTGTTTGAAGAGTAGTGGGGTGTCAGAAAGGGAATACTTGTCTAGTACTGTACCTCCCTCAGCTCTTGGGAGACATTATTTAAATGGTCCTGAATGGGACAGTTAAGATCAAGAACTCAATTTTGATCCCTTCAAAGTAGAGGCTCTTTGAATTTGGGCTTTGGTTTGGGTCTATCTCTAACTTTAATGTTTTCATAAGTATGAGCAGTTCTCCCATAAATTTTACTGGGCTGGGGAAAAGAGATGAAAAAGTATATTACTTCCTGAACTCTTAAAGTTGCAGTGAGCAGAGAAAAAAAAATGATATAGAACAGCGAAACAAGGCAGAGACACATTTTTGGTTTGATTCCATTCCAGCAGAGCTATCCAAACAGCTGTTCAAATTGACTAAGTAGTCTGCGTAGGCTGTGTCAGAGATAGGAAGGCTTCCACAATCCCACATACAATAATTTCTCTTAAAAGTATCAAAAAGTTTCAAAAAATGCATGCTTTTCTACAACTGGATTTTCTCTACAATGCTGTCTCCTTAAAGACCTTTGCTACACATGTACAGCGGATACAGCAGGTCATAACGATGTATAATTTATATAATGTGTCTCTAAAAAAATGTCTGTAAGTAGATATTAGCATGCAGATCTGGTCAAACATCAGTATTATGAAGGGCCTAAGTAGACTTGGACAACATAGGGATTAATATAAAAATAAAGGGCGACTGTCAGGAAGTTTACAACACCAAAGACTTATTATATATATATCTTTACAAACTTTTAAATAATATTGCAAAGGAGTTGTTAAATTTGTCCGATCACCTCCTATCCTTCCGAGAGGGATTTCTGTAATTTTTTTTAAGGGAAATTAACAGCTGGAATACTTACATTTTTCAGACTGCCAGATAAATGAAGGCTTGGAAGGAAGTGCATATTCTGTATATATCTGTAATATCCAAACAGTGAATAGCATAAAAACTGGTATTTTGTCATTAATGTCCCATTGTATCTTGGCATTCCAGTATGAAGTTTACAGATATGACCGTCAAAAAACAGTGTACTGAAGTATTGAGACAGAATTAGCTAAGCTAACTTAAATCAGGTTTAACTGTGACTTTCTTTGCTTTTTTATTTAACCTTTAATTTTAGAGTGAATATCCTTTGTGTTATTGAATGTTAACTTGTGCTTATTAATGCTCAAGTGTGAACACACTCATATCCAATTTGTTTGGGCATAGGATTTTAATTTTAGAGGAAGTGATTCAATATTTACTTTCTCTCCCCCCCCCCCTTTTTTTCTAAAGGCTTCTAAGGTATTGCATCAGGGTATTCTATCTTTCCTGAGTGACACATATTGATTGCCATTCCCTGCGGAACCTATGTCACTCTTGGGTCATGTAATCAGCTAAGGCTGAGCTTATTTTTTCCACTGTATTCCCAACCTCTGGTAGCCTTGGGCAGCTGGTGCATCAAGCTTTGCCTTGAGCTCCCATGTGCTTTATATTGGCATGTTAGTCTGCTGCAAGACAGTCTTAACAGCCCTTGATTGACCATGTTAGATTTAGAATTGTAGAAAAGATGCAAGTTACAGGTAGCATCGGGATAGCAGATGCCTGGCAATGAAGAATTACCTACGTCTGTGCTATAACATGCAGATCATGCTGTATCTAAACATCCTTAAAATCTGGCAAGTTCAAAATCCAAATCTAGGTCTGAATTTTATTTGGAATAAATACATGTCACTGGGAATCTCTATAGATGCCGAACCTCCTAGATGTGCTATGGCAAGTCTCATAATTGTATTATATATTTATTTACTCTTGTGGCTTATCTAATATAATCTTTGTCCCTTTACCTTTTTGTCTAGGTTCCAAAGCTCTGGAGTATTCCAACGGTATATTTGATTGTCAGTCCCCTACCTCCCCATTTATGGGGAGCCTGCGAGCGCTGCACCTTGTGGAAGATTTACGTGGTTTATTAGAGATGATGGAAGCAGATGAAAAAGAAGGATTGAGATGTCAGATCCCTGATTCAACAGCAGAAGCTCTGATTGAATGGCTCCAAAGCCAAATGGTACAATATCATCTCGAGTTTCTTATAAAACATTGGTGTCCTTTTTTACATGCTACCAGCTGGTCAGAAAATGGGTTTTTGGTTTCTACAATCAAAAATTGAAAACCAAAATATTTGGGACAAAATAGGACCTAATTTGGTTCAGAAAAGCTGCTTCAGGGCCTCATGATTTAATTCCCTTTTATTTCCAGGAAGCCACTAGGTGGACTATATTTTCCAGATGCACCACAAGGTGGAAAAATTTTCAAGGGATTGGCCAGTCAGTATTTTTTATGAGAAAATTAAATTTGTGTGTGGAAAGCAGACATTGTTTAGTGAAAATTTTAGGTTAGTTGAAACCCAATTTTCCATCAACAATCAGTTTGCCATTGGAGATGGATACAAAACTACATGGCCCTTGGAGGGATTCAATTCTTGTGTTCCTAAGACTGCATTCCATTAGTAACATTCACAACATTGTATGCAAAACTAGAGGCCGTTTTTGAATATGTGTCCCTGTAAGAATGTAGTGCTTTTCGTTGCTAGAATTTGCTTCTATTTGACTTCTGGTGCCATCTAGTGGCACATGAAGTTCTATGAAATATTAGTCGAGAGAAACCAGCCCTGGGAATAATACAGCTGCTGAACTTTTCTCTTATTGAAGATTCTAGGAGGAGAGCTGTGTCTTTGAAGTAGTTTTTGTCTTATACAAGTGACCTGGGGCCTGATCTCAACCTGCTGAAGCCAGTGAGAGTCTTTTCACTGACTTGAACAGGCTTTGGATTAGGAATGTGAAAGGTTAACCTGTAGGGGCTGGAACAGCTCCCTGCCCCCGCTGGCTGGGGTCTGCTCCAGCCCTGTGTGGCCCACGTTAGGCTGGGGGTTGCTCCAGCCCAGTCAGAACAGCCCCTGCCTAAAACAGGAGGAAGGGGGAGCTTCAGCCCAGCCAGGCTGGAGTGCCCCCCCTTTTTAAGTAGTTAAACGGTTAAACACGTTTAACCAGTTAGCCATTTAAACAGGATTTTACATCCCTACTTTGGATCAGGCTGCTAAATGTTAAATCTGTGACCAAGACCCAAAGTGACATAACACGCTGATATCGGAAGGAGGGGATTGAATTATTTGGTTCAGTTCTGTAAAATAGATAAAATGATCTATAATTTCAGCACCTCTAAAGTCTGTAATTAACAGTACAGAATGCTAGCTCTTACTAATACCAGAGCTGTGTGGAACAAGAACAAACATGGGACTCAATTGTGTGCTGTACAAGAAGTTGATTTAAAAATACATGAATGCTAGTGACTAGTGCTAAGTAAACTATATCCGTGATAAAGGAAAATCTCTGAATGACTAGTTTAAGTTTGGCTTTGCTGGCCTGCCTTATGCATGAGCTTCAGGGGCCATCTCATCCATCTGTACCAGCCAGAAGGTAGTTCTCTCCTTGTGTCCATTCGGTTTCTCTGCTAGGATTATAAGGATGCTAAATAATGCCAGTTTTGGTGGTGGCTTCGTAATAGAGATGTGCCTGCCTATTAGGAACTGGAAGGAAATCACCAAATTCATTTCATAGCGACCACCACACAGCTGTCAGATGGTAACCACTTTCAACTACAGGTGGAATTTTGAACTAGTGACCTAGATGGAAAAGAGTCTGGATTAGCATTACTCATGGTGTTCTGTATAATGTGGTACAGTTAACAGATATTTCTTCAATCCTACAATATTGAAATTGGCTGTCTGAAGTTATTCTCATTGTTCTTCCTGTTGGGATGACTCGCAAAGAAAGAGAGCAAGATTCATAGAATAGAAGATTCATAAAAGATTAGGATTGGAAGAGGCCTCAGGAATCATCCATGCCAACCTCCTACTCAAAACAGGACCAACCCCTGCTAAATCCTATTCTACATAGTAAGCATTTAAAAACGAAATGAACTTTTACTGTTTCAGATGCCCTTTTTGTACAAAAGGACAAGTAGTTATGTTAAACTACAGATGTGAAATATTTTAAGGAGAATCGTTAAGTGTGTAGATTGCCCAGGAGGAACCAGCTATGTGTGTTGTACGCTTAACATCTGAGAGAAAGGAGTTGTTTATGTAAAGTGATCAAGTAGTTTTCATTGGGGAATTCAGAGGGAAACTAATGTTTCTGTTGAACAAAATGAGCACTTAATGTCTCCATTTGAAATCCATATTGTATTAATTAACTAAATGGGATTGAATCAAGTTGCTTTTCTTGTCTCCTTTTCTAACTAACTTTGAATTTAAAAAAGTGCAGTGGAAATCATACCTGCATTTCCCTTTGTGTGTGCTGGAACTGGATGGATTAATGTGATTAAACTTGGAGAAGGCCCGGTCATTCAAAGTTTGGATATGGATCCAGGCTTTTTTTCAATGTTCCAAAGTATTGGAAACCAGAGTTTCAGTGTGTCCCGTTGTAAATATAGTGTACAGTTATGAAATTTACAATGACATCATAACCTTTCTGAAGTTTCAGGGTTTTTAAGATAGTTACTAATGAATAAAAATTCTCATTCTGTTGAATGTGTATCTATTTAATTTATATAGTGCCCATGGCAAAGCATTTATTCAATCTCTTTTCTTTACACATAGATTGTGTTTTGTTTCTCAGTTCTTTCTGGCTCAGATATGGTTAGTTTTCAAGTTAAAAAAAAAAAATCTAGCTATGAGTTTCACAAATTAAAAGGCAGTCTAATTTTTCATTCCTTCCTGCATATCATCATGGGTAACAAAGTTATTTCAAAGCAAATTCTGCACTTAATTGTATCACTGCAATTCTGTTGCTTTCAGTTTGAAGTTAATACAGAATTCTGCTGATGAAGCACACAAAAAGAATAGAATTCAACTCACTGTCCCAGATTTGGCTCCAACATGCTAATAAGAGTTAAATACAGCAAAATCTTTCCATAGTCACTAAAGGGAGCAGCTCTGACTGGGAACACATACTTGGGAGCAGATCTCTTAAGTAAGGAGTTATACATTTTACCTAATCACCAGAGCCCTGTGTGGATACAATATTTGTATCTGCATTTACATCTGTGGATGCAGATACCTGCAGATATCAAGAGGGTACGTGCAAATTTGCAGAGCTCTACGTTTTTATGAGTGGAGCCTCACTTTAAGCAATATATAGTAAAAATCAAACAAAAAAATCACAAAATCTAAAAGACATCTGTCAGGTATGACTGCATCTTCCTATCTGGGTAGCAGGCACTCCCAGACTTTCAGCGAACTTCTTAAAATGCTTTCCCATAATCATGATCATCACCTCCCTCTTCTTAGTTGTTTTCAAATTAAAGTTGTATAATTTGTTGCTGCTTTTAAAGTGATACTGATTACAGAAAAAATATGGTCAAGTTCAGTGAGTATTCTGTGCTTTTCTTGTTTAAAGATGGATTTTGCCCATAACTCTAGCTCTAAGTTTCCTGTAGTTTAGATCTGAACCTTTAATCCTTGGCCCCATCTCTAAGAGCAGTGTCATAGCTCTTTGTGCTTTTATTTTATTTTATTTTATTTTATTTTATTTTATTTTATTTTATTTTATTTTATTTTATTTTATTTTATTTTATTTTATTTTATTTTATTTTATTTTATTTTATTTTATTTTATTTTATTTTATTTTATTTTATTTTATTTTATTTTATTTTATTTTATTTTATTTTATTTTATTTTATTTTATTTTATTTTATTTTATTTTATTTTATTTTATTTTATTTTATTTTATTTTATTTTATTTTATTTTATTTTATTTTATTTTATTTTATTTTATTTTATTTTATTTTATTTTATTTTATTTTATTTTATTTTATTTTATTTTATTTTATTTTATTTTATTTTATTTTATTTTATTTTATTTTATTTTATTTTATTTTATTTTATTTTATTTTATTTTATTTTATTTTATTTTATTTTATTTTATTTTATTTTATTTTATTTTATTTTATTTTATTTTATTTTATTTTATTTTATTTTATTTTATTTTATTTTATTTTATTATTTTATTTTATTTTGTTTTATTTTGTTTTATTTGTTTTAAATACAGAGGAGCCAGTGATCTTTAACAGCCAGTGCCCCTTTTTTTAGTCAAGTTTCATGTTCACCATGGGTTAGTTCATGTGTATTTTCAGTTTGTGCTAATGAGTTGACTTGTGTTGCAGACAGTGATTTGCTGACTTCATGTATTTAGTTGTTACACTATGAAGAAACGCGGTCCTCTTGTATAATTAGCTGGAGGTTCTGCCTCCTCTTTAATGACCTAATTCTTTTATAAACTAGCCAGATTATTTGAAGATAATAAAACCAATAATATTCTTAATGAAGGCATATTAGGGTTCAAAGATAAATTTGCTTATATGAGATCATTGTACTGAAATAAATCAGCTCTTCTAAAGATGTGGAGTGGTTCCCATGTGGTGAAAGTAGATCACTAGATAAGGAACATTTACGGATTATTTATTCATGGGAAAAATCCTGTATTTGAGTGAAGATTTATTTCTTAGTGTGAACATACAGAAGATTTATTTGTTAGACTGGTCGAGTTAGAGTCTGAAAGCATTTTCTAATTGTGTGGCACGCTTAGCCTCTCACCCCTTGAGATCTGAATTCAGATCCTTCCAGAGATCATAGCTCAGTGGCTCCCAACCTTTTCCAGATGGGGACACATTTTGACAATTCAGGAAGTCTTGAGCTTCAGGGGGTAGCTGAGTTAGTCTGTTACAGGAAAAAAACAACAAATGGTCTGGTAGCACTTTATAGACTAACAAAACATGTAGATGGTATCTACATGTTTTGTTAGTCTATAAAGTGCTACCAGACCAGGAAGACTTGGTGACCCACGGCAATTCGAAAGCGGGGGGGGGGGCATAGCCACCTGGGGAGACACTCGGCGACCCTTTTGAAATGTAATGGCGACCCATATTTGGGTCCTGACCCATAGGTTGGGAAACCGTCATAGATTAAAAGGAGTGTAGTGATTCCATGCTAGTCCCTAGTGGAAAGTGCCTATATCACAATTTGTCGCACAATTGTGAGTTTGCTCATGACCTGCCTAGCTGCAGAATGCTCTTTAACCATGAGACTATCCTTACTTGTTGGTGTGTCTTGGATTAAATAAGTGATTTGAGAATAGCAGGGAGCCATCCACCATGCTGCTTTGCTTGGCATCTTTGAGTTCGTACGTTGTATCTTGTTGTTGAGCAGCCACAAGGGTAGTATCACCGCTCCAAAGCATTGAAAAAATCATGAGTTGGGATTACAAATTCATGACTATCTTAAAAATCATAAGTGTTTAATGATTAATACATGCAGGATTCTTTGCATTTGCTTCCTGGTGTTTGACTCTTTTAGAGTTCACCTGTGAAGATTTTTCTCTGAAACAATGAGGCTGTAACTTTTTTTTTTGGTTATAAACACAAACTGAATTTTTATGATAATCACTGGACTCCAGGAGCTGGGGTTGATGCACCAAATATTACGAGATTTGCAACAAAATTTTGAGAGTTGGCAGAAGTGTAACCGAGTATAATTGTTCACCAAGTGACAGTTTAAAAATTGAAGCACTGAGGCATTTGGTGGTGTTGAGACAATGCGCCATAACCTGACTCCTAAATCTTCTCCTAAAACTTTAGATGTCATGTTTCGACTTGAGAATGTTCAGCCATTTTTTTCCAATTATTTTTCATTTTGCTTGGCTTCTGCTCTTGAGTCCTACCTTCTCTTCCACCTATTTAAACAATAGTCCATCAGTAAAATCAGAGTAAAAGACCTAGTGTTTTTAACCCTATTTATGTCTTGATACTTTTAAGCAGGAAACAGAATCAGAATCTCTATTTTTAACTGAATTATTTCCATATAAAAGGAGGGTCGTCCTCATGATTTTAGTAGAAGCTGGGGAGTTGAGAAGGAAAATGCTTGTACTAAAGCAAAAAAAGCTAAGGGAGTCTTTATGACACTCTGCCAGATGAACAAAGGAACATGGGGAAGGGGGTAATGACTAATGGAGGGAGGCTTGGGTGTCTCAAATTTGAACAAATTAGCCCATCTAAGAATATGGGTCTTTGATGCCTAGTGAGAAGCTGCTTTTCATGCATGAGGGTGCAGGCATTCTGCAGCCTCCCTTCCCACTCCAACCCCACATTTATAGTGTCTCCTAGTAGATGAGGAAACCTGGCCATTGCTAGCTTCCCCACAACAATCTCTGCCCAGGAAGTCTTGATGGCACACAGGCACCACCTTGTGCTTGTTGTGGTACTCTAGGTCTTTGCATGAGTAGTGCTGTGGCTTTTGGTCTCTCAGCTAGACACAACGTTCAGTCACAGCTGCAACATGCATGAAAATAAATGTGACCGAAACAGAGTGTAACCGGAACACTCACAAGCACTTTGCTTTGCTAAAAAGGGTAAGAACATCTATTTTGGTTCTGAGTTGTGCTATCTGGGTAACAAACTATAACATATTTGTATGGCTTATAGCTCTGTGCTGTAGCAGTTCTGAATTGTTAACAAAGGAATTGGTCCTCCTGAAATAGTTTCCCCTTCTTAGCAGCTGCTTTATTTATTTTTAGAACGTGTTTCGGGTAAATTCTAAGGTTTTTGTTTATTTGTTTTTAGACTTTCTTCTCCGACATTCTTTTTGGGTGTGGGAGGTTGGCCTGTTTCATGTGCATTTCTGCTATATCTTTTACAAGTAAAATTAGTTTAGTATTTTTTATGATGAAATTTCACAGAAGTGTTCAGTAAATTTTTAAAAGTGTACTGTTTAACAGTAGATCATTATGAATATAAATGGATAATTTATAGCTGTGATGAAAATCACAAGGGTTATAAGGAAGAGCAATTTGAAGGAGATGTTGGCTTGGGGAGGGGAAAAGGTGGACTTTTGTGCATACTAGTTAAACTGATTAAGGTAGTGGAGATATCTCCATCCATCCATCTATCCAAAGCCTGTTAAAGTCAATGGGAGGAGGCTACTGTGTATTTGATCATGTGGCATGGTGTAAAGGTTTCCTCTATTGGAATTTGGGATAGATCTCATTACTCATAATTGGTAAAGCTATATATGATTTTTGTGGGTCATCCCAATTGAATGCCCATAATACTTTTTACGACACAGCAAGTTTGGTGCAAAATCTACAGGTAGCACAAAATAATTTAGGCTTAGTCAGCATTAGAGAAGACTCAGGAACTCAAGGGACCCAACAAAGCTAAATGAATGAGCATAATGATGGGAGATGTTTAGTGTTGACAAATGCTAAGTAATATGGGTTGGATGCTAGATAATGTGTTAAAAGGAACAATTTAAGCTACTTACACCTATTATGCTCATTAGAGATGTTAGTGTAGCACTCGACAGAACAATGAAAAAATCTCTGTTCAAGCTACAGTAATGTTGAAAATAACAAACAAAATGTTGGGATGTACCACATAAAGAAGAGCATAAAATATTATAATGAAATATAGCACAGTATAAAGCAATGGTCATTTTACGATGTCCACATATATATATCAATGGTGCAGTTTTAACTGGAATATTGCATTCAGTTATGGTTATTTTGTCCTAAAATTCAAGAATAGAGAGGTCCAGAGATAGACAACAAAAATATCTTTTATAGGCCTCAAATGTAGGCTTAATTTTGAGGGAAATTCTACATCTCAAGGAAAGGATCCTTTGCAGTCTGCTTTAAACACTTTGCAGACTGCTTTAAAATGGCACCTGTTTGAAACTGCTCAGTGTTTTGGTATGTAGTAGGTAGAGGGCAGATTAAATGGTGAAAGGTGTATACTGTGTTTATCACATAACACTCACCGACAGAGGTGTTGGGTGATATATATGTAAAAACAAAATCTATGTACATACATTTAAAATATATTTTAGCAGTTGTCACGGAGGCAGCATTTCGAAGGGGCAGTGCTGCACAGAGCTTGGTACGGGCTCCATGTGGCACTGCTGCTTTGAAGTACCCCATCTTCTCCGCTCTCCCCTCCTCCTGCTCCGCCCCCCCCCTCCCACTGCCTCTATATCATATATTTGCTTATCGGATAGTCAACTAGTCCTTAACATCCTTATTCTGAGCTTGTTTTTCTATACTGTTAAATAGCTGCAGCGACTGACTCGGAGGCTGTTTTCAATAATGAATGAAGTTATAACTAGGGTGTGCTTTGCTCCTTCTGTAGGCCAAGCACATGGGTCTTTACATATCCACATTCCCTGTCTATCCTGGATAGTTCCATGTGCACCAGTCCCTATCCCCCTCTAATTCAGGGATTCCCTACTACTCCCTTTCTCCACCCCCCATATTCTGTAGGAGCCCTAATTTCCCCTTCCTCTCCATGCTAGGGATATGAATGTTTAGCTGGTTAAGCAGTTAATCAGTAAGCCTCATCCTTAACAGGTGAGGCTTATCGCTTAAGGTTAATCAGTGGAGACTGGAGCATGCAGTGTCATGGGATAGGGGCTGCTCTGGGCTTGGGCACCCAGCTGGTAGAGGCTGCTCCAACCACAATGCCTGACACCGCCCCCCCCAGGCCACGCTGGGTCCCCTCTACCATCCAAACCTAACCCTCCCCTTCTGCCCAGAGCCTGCACCCCCAACCTGCTCCTGCCCCTTCCCTCTGGCCAAACACCCCTAATTTAGATGATAGGAAGTATGTTTTAAAAGTGCCTGGCTTATTACTCTTCTCTTACTTATATTAATCAAAGTCGACATGCTGAAAGTGATGCCTAGTGGGCCAAATTCCCTGTTACTGTCACTTGAGCTCAGTGAAGTCACAGCAGCCAAGAATTTGGATCTGTGGGGCCAGATCTTCAACTGGTGTAAATCAGCATATCTCCATTCACCCCCGGTTACACCAAGTAAGGATCTAGCCCATTGTTTTTATATATTAAACCTTTTTCTTGAAGGGCCCTGCAGTATTGCATTTAGCTGGAGTTTCTAGGGTTTAATTACTTTGAAGTTACATTGATGAAAAATGCTGATCCTATAATAGTCCATAATTCAAACTTTTATTTTTTTCAGACTAATGGCCATATAGCTGGTAATGGAGATGTATATCAGGAAAGGCTAGCACGTCTGGAAAATGACAAGGAATCTCTTGTTTTGCAAGTAAGTAATTTCCAAAGTTAGGGGTAGTCTGTGTATAGATTTTGTGCTTTGAGTGACTGAATATAGAGCTTTGAATGGTGACCTACAGTCATGCTACCTTTGAACTGTGAATTTATTTAATCTTGCTAGCTGAGCTTTTTCAAGAGACCTCTACCTTCTCGCATCTGTATCCCTCTTTCAACACCCCATCTTCTTTGACACCTTAAAGAAATTATACAACTAAGGTATCTATGTATTTTTATTTGCTATCGTTTTTAAAAATTCTTTATTCAGGAAAGGCTAGATAGACTAAATTCATAATCTGACTGATGTGGTCCTCATCCTGGTTGTTCTAACTTCTTCCTAATGTTTTAGTTTACCTCCATCATGGAATCATGAGTGAAAATTGTAAGGGCAGGGATCATATCTTTTCACAGTGTAATATGATGAAATTAGTATCATAGGCATTACAAAGTTATTAATAGCTATGCAGAATCAGGAGTATTCAGTAGCTACATGGGTTAGAATGTGCTATGTAGTGGCTTTGGTGATATAGCTGAAGGTACCTTCAAATCTGATTTGGCAGCAAAATAAATGGTCCTTAAAGACATATTTGGACTCATCTGCTTAAGTGGATTTTACCCACAAAAGCTCATGATCCTATATATTTTTGTTAGTCTCTAAGATGCCATAGGACTACTTGTTGTTCTTAAAGGCATAGTGCTGGTAGACATGCAGGTTCTCAGGCAAGGGTGAAATGAGAGTCCAACCAACTGTGGATATTTAAGAGCTTATGGTACATTTCAGAAAAGGATGTAGAAAGCCCTGCAATCCTGTCTGAATTGCAGCTTTGGACAATTGTGATGTGCCGGCCAAAAACTGCACTGAAATTTCGACTGGCCACTGGGATTTCCTGTTTTTCCTCCTCCACCAAAAGCTCTGAAGGAAACGAAGGCCTGATCTACACTAAATAGTTGGGTTAATGAAGCGACATCACTCAGAGATGTGAAAAATCCACACCCTTGTGCAACTTAGCTAAATTGATCTCATCCCCAGTATCAACCCTATCCACGGACCTAGCTTGCCCACTCTCAAGGAGGTGCATTTCCTATGCCTCCCATCAGCATAGGCCAGGGGTTTTCAAATTTTGGGTTGCAACTTATAATGGCGAGCTGCTAGCTGGTCGTGAGAACCTTCGTTTACCTGAGTGTCACAGGTGTGGCCACTGGTGGCTCCCAGTGGCTGTGGTTCACCATTCCTGGTCAATGGGAGCTGCAGGAAGAAGTGGCCCAGCTCACACCACTTCCTGAAGCTCCCACTGGCCGGGAACAGTATTGTAGCCACTGGGAGCTGCAAGTGGCCATGCCTGTGGATGCTCAGATTTTAAAAAAGCGTCCTGCAGCCTCCTAGCAAAGTTTTAAAATCCCTGGCATAGGTAGTGTCTACACTGAAGCACTATAGTGGTGTCTTTTCAGGGCTGCAACTGTGCTGCTGTAGTTTGCAAGTGTAAAAAAGTCATGGGATACAGGGAAGCCCTCTCATGGATCAGTAACTGGTTGAAAGATAAGAAACAAAAAGTAGAAATAAATGATAGTTTTCATAATGGAGAGATGTAAACAGAAGGGTCGCCAAGGATCTGTACTGGAACCTGTGCTGTTCCACAGTATTTACTGTTTACCCCCTTTTCCAGATCATTAATGAAGTGACAAAATTTGCAGATATAATATTATTCAAGATGGTTAAGTCCAGAGCAGACTGGAAGGAGTTAGAAGTATTACAAAGCTGGATGATTAGGTGACAAAATGGCAAATGTTATGTGCAAAGCAGTGCATGTTGGAAAACATAATACCAACAATACATATAGAATGATGGCTTCTAAATTGTCTGTTACTACCTAAGAAGCAGCTCTCGAAGTCATCATGGATAGTCCTCTGAAAACTTCTGCTCAGTGGTCAGAAAAGGTTAACAGCATCTTAGTAACCATTAGAAAAGGAATGGAAAATATTATATGCCACTCTATAAATCTGTGGTGCACTCGTATTGAATACTGTGTGCATTTCTGGGGACCCCACCTCAAAAAAAAAAAAAAAAAAAAGAGGATGCAATGGAACTGGAAAAGCTTCAGAGAAGGGCAAAGATGATGCTGAAGGGCATGGAACAATTTCCCTATGAGGAGAGACTAAAAAGATTAGAGCTGCTCAACTTGGAAAAGAGACCACTAAGGGGAGATATAATAGAGGTCTATAAAATCATCTATGGTGTGGTGGGTAGAAATGATAGAGAATTGTTATTTTTCCTTTCACCCAATTTAAAAACTGGGGTCACTTAAATAAAAGTAATTGAGCAAACAAAGAAACCTGGAGGAAAACTTGTCGAGCAAATAAATAAATAAATAAACACATGCTCAGAGGCCGAAATGCGGTCACAGCCCCTTTAAGAGCCAAAATGCCGCACTGGGAGCCGGAAAAAAAATGCCTTGCGTCCCGAGCAGGCTTCCGTCAGGAGACGAGCGGAGCCAGGAAAACAGGTGCTGGTATGTACGGGAGGAAATGCTATTCCTTTACTGTGTGCTGGGAAAATAGGTGATGGTAAGCCGTACCGGGCTGTAATGTCACAAAAAAAAGCACCGAACATGAGGAGGTAACTTTGCTCTTGATGCACAATTAATTTGTGGAATTCATTGCTATGGGACGATGTAATGACCAAAAGTATAGCTGGGTTAAAAAAAGATTATTTCATGGAGGATTAGTTCATGAATGGTTGTCAAGATGGTCAGGAATGCAACCTCATGCTTGGGATGATCCTACACCTATGACTGCCAGCAGTGGAAGAAATTCTGTTCTTTACGTTCCCCTTGAAGCGCTTGTATGGACCACTCTGAGACTGGATACAAGGCAAGTTGGACCATGGTCTGTCTCACTGTGACAATCCAAATGTTCCTCCTCATCCTGAACAGCATAACTATTAGAGATTGCCTCCTATGCACAAGTATCGACTCAGTGGGAGCTCCTGGGCTGGAGCACCCATGGGGAAAAATTAGTGGGTGCTGAGTATCCACTAGCACCTAAGGTCACACCCCCTATGTTTCTCCCCTGCACCTCTTGCCCACTGGTGGGCCCACTGACCAACTCCTCCCCCGCCCTCCTAGTGCTTCTGGAGCAGGCATTCAGGAAACCCCGAGAGAGAGGGGTAGGAGTGGGAGCAAGGCACGCTTTGGGGAGGAGATGGGGTGGGTGGGGAAGTCAGTGTCTATACTCTTATATGTGGTCAGTGCCCTTCAGGGTGATAGGTGCTGTATAAAGCTGAGGTAGTTACGGATTTTCTTATTTCTGTACTCTACAGGTAAGTGTACTTACTGACCAGGTGGAGGCACAAGGAGAAAAGATCCGAGATTTAGAGTTCTGCCTAGACGAGCACAGGGAGAAGCTGAATGCCACAGAAGAGATGCTGCAGCAGGTATTGTGGGGAAGCCAGAGCACCCTCATTTCTCTCCCTGTTTGTGCTGAGTAGATTGTACTGTAGCACTGAATACTGTTTTGTCTGCTTCATTCAGACTAGGGTATTAGCGCAAGATTTTGAAACCCGCAGTGTGTCACTGTGAAGTGGCAACTTCTTTGTGTATATTTCTATTTTATTCATTAGAGCAATGCTAATTCTTAATCATGTCAGCCTTGTTCCACAGAATAAGTATCCAGTCTTACTCTTATGGGAGTCCCTGCTCTGACTTTTAAGGGAGTTAGATTGAGGCCCTAAGTAGAATGGATGTTAATTCTTAGCTCTTACTTATTTTAACTGTGTCTGCTGCCCTTGACTACTGTTATAGCCAGCAGGTTTATTGGGGCAGTTGTTTTTTGGACCTGTTCCTTGAAACTCACGCAATACCCATATTTCTGGAGGCATTTGGGTTAGCGGCAGCCACCAATTGTTCAAAGACCATATCTGTCAATGGTTGCTGAGTAGCAGTGTTGGCTTGCATAAGACCTGCAAATGTCCATGATTCAAATCCTTTCCATAAAGGGGTGGAATTGGGCATTCTAGGGAAAAAACCCTGGATAAACTAAGGTTAAAAGCTGAGCCCTTATTGAGACACAGGCAGCAGGGAACAATCAAGAGAGGCATATTAGTCAACCAGGTTAATTGGGGCTAGTGTCCTGGGCTTGATAGTTTGAAGGAGGAGTCAAATCTTTCAACCCAAGAAAGATGTAGGAAGACCAGTTTCCTATTGTCTTATTTCTTGGGCCTGTCATAATATGATGTTCAACATGTAATTTTTCCTTAGAAGAATAATTCTGTTCCTTTTCCTCTTGAATCAGGAGCTTTTGAGTAGAACATCCCTTGAAACTCAGAAATTGAACCTTATGGCAGAAATTTCCAATTTGAAGCTAAAGCTAACCGCTGTAGGAAAGGACAGGTTAGACTGTGAAGATAGATACGGAGACACAGAGGTGAGTAAAGCAGATGAACTGATTCTCAGAGCTGCATGTGGCTGCCATTTACCTGAAACACACTCTCGGTTTTACAGAAGTACCTGACCGCATTCAAGTCATTCTGAGTCAGAAAAAAATGGGATTTGAGATGGACTTTTAGGGGGAAGGAACAGGTACATTGCCTTGCTGTGTTTCAAGCTGTCAGGTCACACTCCTACATACTTGTGCATGTCACAGCAGATTCTCAAGCATATTGCTCTTGTTATGGTGATGATCAGTGAGAATCATTCAGCATCTCTCTGATAGTTCTTTTAAATCTCACCCATTTGACAAATCAAAGTGTAAATCCTGGCCCTTTTGAAGTCAAAGGGAGCTTTGCCATTGATTTCAGGGAGGCCAGAATTTCACCCAGAGTCTGAGGTGTGTCTCAGATGTCCAAAATGTCAGCAGATATTCACTAAAGTCTGGATTCTGCCAGACTTTTATATGGGATAGGAGACAGGGAGAGATGAATATAAAGATCTCTCCTCTCAATTAACAGCTTGAATCAGGGCCAGACAGAATGGTAACGCATGGCTCAGCATCCTCTGGCTGCGCATAGGCTAAGAAGTGGCAATTTAAAAATAAGTATGCTGCCCCTCGGTGCCGAGAGCTGTTGGCTTTGTCTTCATTGCAAAATGTTTACCGTTTTTGAACATAGAACACTGCCCAGAGCTCCCAGCAGAACTTGTGTGTGTTAATTTCTCTTTGGAAGATGGAGTTCTCTGGTGAGGTTCACCAGCTAGTAAGCCATTCAACATGCTGCTTGGTGTGCATAGTACATGTACTTTTTTTTTTGTTTTAATTTAAAACTAACTCTCTTTCGGTGGCTTTCTGTTACAAAGATCAAACTGGCCCAGCCCAGTTATGCATGTTAACAGTGAGAGTGAACTGAGCCACCAATAGCAGTGAGCTGTATTATGACAATGATCATTTAGTGGCTGCACAAGTTACTAAAGATAATTTTAAGCCCTGATTTTTTAAAAAGAAACTTTAAGTTTCTTACCCTTCATGCTGCAAAGGTAGAATTCCAAACACGAATGGATCTGTGGAAAGAAAGAAAAAAAACAGAAACGTAATTCTGGGAGGAATGACAAGCCCTATTAACTTCCATGGTTTGCTCATTTTGAAGACTAAAGACAATCATTTAAATGTCAGCATTCATTATGTAAACGAAAATAACTTCTGTGAAGCTATGTGCAGGGCTTGCTTTGAATTCTGTTGCCTTTTCCTGCAGTCGTCTGATCCCAGTTTTTGCTGAATGACTGCTATTGCCTTAAAGCATTAAACTTAACCAGTTCAGACAAATGCCACTCATACCAATGCTGTAGAAATAAGCTCTCCATCTGTCAAAGAGTGATTGAATTCTCCTCAGCATTGATAGTGCTGTGGTAGGTCAGTCAAGTTATAACTGACTGGTGCTTTGAACTCTCACAACTTGTAATGTTTTTTGCTCACCCCAGTGTCACACAGTAAAATGTGAAATTCTTTGCTAATGTAGGAAATATAAAAGATACAGTGTAATCCAACACTTATAAACTAAGACTCACTGAGCAGTCTGATGGGTGAACACATCAGTATGAATAGCAAACATTTTTTTTATGGCGATATTGATAAATGATCACAGGAAACACGTATTGCTGAAACTGCGTTCTTCTGTATCACCGCTTGGTTTCTTAAATACGTTTTCCAAAACCAGTAACAAAAGTAGTTGACGCTTCAGTGCTTTTGCTTTACTCTTTGCATGTGTTGGTATTTTGCTTACCGTTTTTTCCAAATCTTTCCTGTGATCCCCTTCTTTAATTTCCCTCGGCACTGCAGTCACGCCATAACGTAATGGCAGAACTCAGACAACAGATGGAGAAAGTGGAGGTGGAACTAGTACTGTTCCAGGAAAAGAGTGGGGATCAAGAGGTGACTTTTCCACACCATGCACTGCAACTGTAGACTCTGTGCAAAAGGCTTACTTGCATGGTAGCTGTTAATACCAATATTTCTCTTAAAATGCCTCAGAATAGGCCAAATCATAGTCTTTTATAGGTCTAAAAGAAGCTGCTGTAATAAAATTAAACTTAAATTGCACTTAAATGCAATTATTATTAAGTAAGAATAATATAGTTTTATTTGCAGGACATCCATGTCAAAACTAATACTCTTAAATGTGTCTTGCTTCCGCCCCCCACCCCCCAGGCAATATAATACTGCAAGCTTTGTTACAAAACTTCTTAGTTCCATGAGCTTAGCTTTTCTATGGTAGTAAAGACTTGGTGGTAGCTCTGCATATTGATGTCCTATAGTTTTGGGGAGTAGAATGTTCAAAAGTGCTCACTGTTGACCTAACTCTACCCCTACTGAAGTCAATGGTCAGTTCGTTTCAACGAGGCCAATGTTGAGTGCTTTGAAAATTCTGCTCTTGAGCTTCTTGTACCATTCATAGGCACAAACACACCCAAACCAAACGGAGACGCTCCATAGCTCAAAGAAAACACAATCAGGAAAAATGTTCCGGCCTTCCAAATACTAAGCTACTCCCAAGTACTAGACATACTTGATTACTGGTTGAGTTAAATAATTGACTCCCCCCACAACCATCCCATTTTTACTTAAATAATATTACTACTACTGCTTCCCCTTCACTGCTCTCTCTTTATCCTCTTCACTGCTCCCTCTTTAAATGAATACTCCCTTTCAACTCTTTTTCATAATTTGCTTTGTCAATTAAATCTTTGTGTTCCAGAGTGGCTCTCTCCAATATTCACAGGTACAGTAGCTTTTCCAGGTTAATGATACGCTTAATTTCAGTAACTCAGTCCATACTGATTTATTTTTCTATATTAAATAATCCTAATAATGTTAATCTGTTCTCCAATAAAACCTCTCAATTTATTTCTCTCTTTCATCTTTTTGGCCTTGTGCTGTGCTCTGTCCATCTTGACAGCATCTCTCATGAAGATGGCCAGAACGGAACACTCTGTTCCAAATGTGGTGTTTTAGAATGGATAACTTGGTAAACATACCTCAGTACAGTACAAAATGGAGGAAGATTTATTTAGGGAAGGGTTCACAGCCAGACATGACCCCCATTCCATTCCCCCCCCCCCGCTGCTACCTCTATCAAAGGCAGCAGTGGGGGGTGAGGAAGAAGCCGAGGCTTCTGCAAAGCCAGCCTGGGCTGCCATGAACAGTGGCTGCTGGGCCTGACACGAACTGGAACTGAGCATTTCAGGCTTGTGTTGGTCCGGAACCGCTGCAGCTCTGCATTTTAAATGTAGTAAGAGCTGGGAAGCTCTTATTACATTTAAAACGTAGAGCTGCAGTGGTCCGGGACACAGTGTAAGCTGAGACTGCTCAGTCCCCCAGCTCATGCTGGGTCCTGGACCTACCCCTCCTGGCTCTTACTACACTTAAAAGACAGAACCACAGCAGTCTGGGACCCGAAGTGAGCCGGGACTGCTCAGTCCCAGCTCACACCAGGTGTCAGACGTACCCCCACTGCAGCTCTCCTTATCAATAAGTGACTCCCCTTATTGACTAATCGTTTAGTCGATACAATTTATATCGACTACACAATTAGCTAGATACCTGCTCCTTAACATCTTTATTTTGGCTATGTATAACCCAAGGCAATCATCTTTTAGTGTGTGTGCGTGTGTTTTCAAAGGAGAGATTAAGTACAGGTTGAGTAGGTTCTATAAAACCCGTCTCGATGTTTCACCTTTCAGTCCAGTATTTTCATGTGATCCAAAGCCCATTGAAGTTAATCAGACTCCTGTTGGTTACATTGGGCATCTGATCAGGGCCTAATGATTTGTGGGTTTGCATCACCATATCTGAAAGGCTGGGGGAGTTAGGTGTAGATGTAGAGAGCACTAGCACCTCTTTGCAGAAGTATTCTGACTGTGGGCTGTTGTACTTATTGTGTTAGAGTAGCACTTAGAGGCTTCCATCAGCATTGGGACCCGCTCTACTAACACCTTGTAAGCAACAGTCCCTGCACTAAATATTTTATAATCTAAATCCAATAAACAAGATAAAGAATGGGAAGAAAGAATAACACAAGCAGCTGATGAGGGAACTGAAGCAAAAAAAATTCATTCAGATGAGCCTGAGGAAGTGAAGTACCACTGAAAGTGTGAGGGCTTGTCTACATTACTAGATGAGGTCGAATGTATTAAGCTCTATTTGTTAGCATCCGCTTTGGTAAAGTTGAAGGTGCATATCTCCACCGGGCAGAAGAATTCAACATATTTCGAAGTAGTGCATCTGCAGTAGGGCAACTACTATTGACTTTGAGAGTGATGCACTGTGGGTAGCTATCACACAGTTCCTGATGCCCCTTTGCACTCTAGGTTATGCTCCCAATGCCTGATGGGGACCTAAACTGTGCAGCACATGGTTCTGGGTACATGTCAGCATCCTAATGAACTCATCTCCCTCCACCACTTAAAATTAACAGCAACCGTCTGCGCCTATTTTCCCCTGGTTTTCCATGCAGATGCCATAGCAGAGCAAAAATGGAACCATCATGGAACATGTTTAGCATCAAAGTATTATGACAATCATGTTAACCACAGTGCACCTTAGGCTGCAATATGTCCAGAGTGTATCAGGGCCCACCAGAAGGAGGGAAAATCTTGGGAGGCCATGAACATACTCTTCAGCCAAGCACTTAAGTTCAGCAACTGGCAAATGTTCAGCAACTGGCAAATGTTCAGCAACTGGCAAATGTTGCCGGCATTTGATCTTCTAGACATACTAGAATGCTGTTTCTGGTGCTGTGAGACAAGCACAGATTGGTGGGGCCACATAGTGATGCAGCTATGGGACAGTCAGCAGTGTCTGTGAAACTTTTACATGAGTAAGGCTACTTTAATGGAAGTTGGCAAATTGCTTTTTCCCACCCTGAAGTTTGGAGTGGAGAAATCTACATTTGGGGTTGTTGTGATGACAGTAGCCAAGGCCTTCAATACACTTCTGCTGTGAAGGTAATGATTCTGGGAAATGTACACGACATAGTGGAGATACTTCTCGATGGTGTTATAAGCACTGGTGGCTCACAAGGACAGTTTCACCAACATCAATGTGGGATGGTTGGGAAAGGTGCATTACGGGCACATCTTTAGGTATTTCAGTCTTTTCAGAAAGCTGCAAGATGGAATTTTCTTCCCAGACCAGAAAATTGCCATTGAAAATGTTGAAATGCCAATAGTGATCCTTGGAGATCCCGCTTACCCCTTGCTCCTCTAGCTCATGAATCTGTAAACATATAGAACAAAACATAAGAACATAAGAACGGCCATACTGGGTCAGACCAAAGGTCCATCTAGCCCAGTATCCTGTCTACCGACAGTGGCCAGCACCAGGTACCCCAGAGAGGGTTGACCGAAGACAATGATCAAGTGATTTGTCTCCAGCCTCTGACAAACAGAGGCCAAGGACACCATTTTATCCCCTGGCTAATAGCCTTTTATGGACCTAACCTCCATGAATTTATCCAGCTTCTCTTTAAACTCTATTATAGTCCTAGCCTTCACCGCCTCCTCTGCCTGGATTGCAGTCAGGAGCAGTTCAACTACAGGCTGAGCAAGTGCAGAGTGGTGGTAGAATGTGTTTTGGGGCATTTAAAGGGAAGGTTTTGCAGTCCGCTAACTAGTTAGACCTCAGTGAATGCAACATTCCCATTGTTGTAGCAGCCTGCTGTGTGTGTGCTTCATAATATTTGAGAGAGTAAGGGGGAATGTATACTTCCTTGCATCTTGATTGAAACAGTCAATCTTGGATTCAGTCTGGTCTCTTTTAGCAAAGAGTTCTATGGCTAGTATTGCATGGCTCAGAATGTTCTACCCCTTAAAGCTAGAGTGCTGAAACCTGCTTGTCCCTAGCTGTGTCACTTTTGGTGAAGTGCAGCTACTTCAAAAGGGCAAGGACACCTCTGTGGGAGTCAGATCCCAATCCAAGAGGGTTAGCCTGGTTCTGAAGCAAGAGAGGAATGAATGGAATTCAAAAGCACACATCTGACCATGTTCACAGCAACTTTTGTTGCTTCTGCAGCACACATCTTGTGGTGGCAGTTGTGTTCAGCCCTGGGAAATGTAGGTTGCACTACCATCTCGCTTAATATAAGCAAGAAATATAGAACACCACAGATAATATCCCATTCATTTCACTGATAATACAGGTACCAATATTGATAAAAGGGTGTCACCCACTGGAACTATGTGCAGAAATTTTGCATGGGTGTAAATGGCTGCATGAGGTGCAGGATAGCGGAGGATCAGGCTGCTATTTTACTTGTAAGCTGAGAAATCAGCTGATTGTTGCCTGCATGCATTAGTTTGGTGCTTTGAGGAGGAAACTGGGAAATTCCTGGGTCTGATTCTTAGTTACTTGACGGTCTCTGTGCTGCTGTGGAAATGTAAAGACCCTCTAAATAAAGGGATGGGCTGTGAACTGCTTTGACTTATACCGGGGCCCAGAAAGAACATAGGGAACACAGCAGCCACTGAAAGCTACCTTTTGCTCACCTGCTTCCCTCCTTCATTCCTGCCTTCAGTGCAGAAATGTAGGAATTCAGTTGGAGCCTATGGATGGCCCGCCAAGCTCTTAGTTGCTTGAATATTTGTCCTGGCCTAATTTTGAACTTAGATGTGTCTGTATGCACTATGTGTGGGGGGGAGAGGGGGGAGTGGAGAGAGTGGTGTTGCTTTTTTTTAACTTTTCTGCTGAGATGTAGTTAAGTTCTGTTTTGTTTTGTTGAATTTATTTTTTCTTTTTCCCTTTCACTCAGGGCTTGATGCAGGAAATCAGTGAATTACGGTCAAGAGTCGGAGAGATGGATAATGAAAGACTTCAGTATGAGAAGAAGCTTAAATCCACCAAAGTAAGTTACAACTTGTGAGAAAGAGGGGAGAGCTGGGTATAAGTTGCAAACTTTGGAACTTTCTGGTTTTTCAACATACTTAAGTCTTAAGAGTTTGCAGATCCAGGGCTGCTTTTTTTTTTTTTTTTTTGCCATTTGCAAGTTTCATATCAAATTCTGATTTCAAACCTCAGCACAGAAACTGGGGGAGGTTCAGATCAGGGCGTCTGATACAGCTCTATTTCTGAGAGGAACCATTGCATTAGCTGAAAACTTCTAACTAAGGTTGCCAGATGGTTTCCGAAAAAATACCAACCTCCCTCCCCCTCCCTCCAAAGAAAGGTCCCCAAGAGTTGTTAAGCGCCCAAAAAGAAGAAGAAAAAGAAAAAGAGCGTGGCACCTTTAAGAAATGCTTGGTGAGGCTTTTTGGCCTTAATAGGCTGCTGGCAGCCACCCACCATCTTGCCTCCCTGCGCAGGGCCAGACAGCTCCCCTGCAGAACCCAGTAAGCACTAGGGTTGTCAGGGTGCCTCCGTATTGAGCTGGACAGCCTGGGATTTTCGCCTCCTGGCTGGGAAAAAATCAGAAAGTACTGGACATTTTAGGTGTCCGGTATCTTCTGAATTTTATTTACCAGATAGGAGGCGAAAATACACAACTGTCTGGTTCAATACCGGACACCTGGCAACCCTACTTCTAACTTGTAGCAGCAATTTTTATGTTTAAGTTCTATTTAGCTATCCATATGCTTTTGGATCAGGGAACAAAGATTGTAATGAGAGAGGTATGGACAAGGGTAGGATGAAAACTTAGCATTATTTTCTTTTACATGTGCTATAAATTATCCATGTTTTCCCTGAAGAGACACCTGTGCAATTCTATAATGCCATTTCTCTAAGTATCTAACTCCCTTATGAATTCTGTTAGCTATCTAGCCTGTTTCTTTTCTATCGTTAGTTTTCTCTCACTCCTCTGTCTCTGTTACCAGTCTTTAATGGCCAAACTTTCTAGCATGAAAATCAAAGTGGGTCAGATGCAGTATGAAAAGCAGCGGATGGAGCAAAAATGCCAGATACTAAAGGTGTAGTAGATTGTGGGTAATATTGGGCCTGTTTTCTGCACAACTGCTTTGTGGTCCGTGTTGCATCTTGCTGTCATGCTGTCTGTGTTCTTTGATTACTTTCTTTTGACCTGCAGTGTGCTCTTGCTAGTAGAAACTAAACCTTATGAAGTGAGATGTTCCTCCTTACAAATTGTTTTTAGGGCATAAATAGATGTTTACAGGGTTTTCCATAGTGCACAAGTCTTGAGTGTGTTACCCACAACTTTACTTTAAATGTAAATGGATCCCTCTTCAAAAGGGTAATTTTCACTTCTCCAGTTTGCATTCATTATTCAGAAAATGCTCTTATTGAGCTGCTTAGAGAAGGGCACACGTACACGCCCTCTTGCACATACACACTCTCATGCACTCTAATTTCTTACCAAAGACTTGTTAATGTATTTTAATCAAGAAAACAATTGCTGTAATACATCACCTTCTCTATACAGTATATTATGAACATTAAGTAACAGACCAGATGTTGAGTTCACTGAGAAAAGTACCTTACTTCAGAAACTGAAAGTAACTCCAATTTAAATCTTAATTCTTAGTTTAAAAAGTCTTAAAGATTCTAAGATAGAGACATTTGTGGAAGAATGTAGGGGCCTAGACATGCATGCCCTGTGCAACTAAACCTTGCATTGAAATCAGTACCAGTTTGGAATGTCTGAGGAATTTGTCTGAATCTAAATGTTACATTTTGACTCATTAGTCTCTAGGATATAATAGAACAGTTAGAATTTGCAAAGGAAATTTTGTGTTTTGTTTTTAAAAAGGAAGTTAAACAAATGCCATTTTATAATTCCATAATGAGCTTCAACAAGGGGTAAAATCCTATTCCAGCTACTCCCAGGAGGCGTCCCATTGAGGTCAAAGGGATATGTTAATAAGGTGAACAGAATTTGGCTCAGAGTGCAGAAACAAAACTTAATGCTGGGTCATTGTGTATGGACCTAGAGTTCAAAAGTATTTATCTAACCCCAATCACCATATGAGCTTTGATTGTTCCAGTGAAATGGGATCCATATCCTACCCACGCTCTTTGATTTTGGTTTTAAAAACCAAATATTTGCTGAGGAATTGCAGTAGTAAATCCATCTAAGGTATAAGTTGTAGGTGAACTAATCTGTGTAGCTGCAGTGACCCAATCCTAGACTGTCGAAATGGAAAGAGAGCTTAGATGGAATATCTAGTCTACAAGGTTTGGTTTGGTTTCCTTATTGAGAGTTTCACTGCTAAAACTGCCTGCAGCTTACTTTTGTTCATTTTGTCTGAATTGCTTTTCAGAGTGTTTTGCTTTTATTACATTATAGTTGATTTACTTTCATAGTAAGTTGTGTGTATTGACAAAACTGTTCATGGCCTGTTTTGAGACAACACTGAATTTAAAGAGAAAGCAACATCTACGAGCCATCAAGCACAGGCAGTAAGCAAACACAACCCATGTGTTTAGCTACTACCTGATAAAATACTAGACCCAAAATAGAGCATGATTCAATTAATATGCAACTGTGTTTTGTTTTCGGCACTTCAAACATAGAAAGCGCTGTGAAGCATTTAGCCTCATCCTCTTTAATTTTGCTGTTTATGCATGCTGAAAAGAAATACCTCTTTTCCCCAATGCTAATTTTAATTCAGACAAAAAAAGTCATAATACATTTAAATTGGTGATGGGACTTGCATGGAAAACTTGGTCTGAATCCAAACTATTACAAAGTTTGGGGCTGTTTGGACCTTGGGGAAGGGTCTGTTCTGCTACAGAGAGATTGGCTTTGCTGCGAAGTTCATGTTCAAAGTTCTGGGGACAGCTTCTCAGCTGGTGTTGTTATTCCAGTGGGCCCATAACAGCTTGCATCAGATGAGGCTCTTCCCCCTGGGGACTTTTTAGGGATGACATTTCCATTGGGTACCATCTCTAACTTAAATGGTAAAAAATATTTTAAAAGCCTCTTTAAAACGGAAACCTTGTTCTTCTTATGGATAAATGATTGTGGCTCTATACAGGATGAACTGGCATCTTTGAAAGAGAAATTGGAACAGAAAGAAGCAGAAGTAAGGCGGTTACAAGAAAAATTGGTTTGCAAGATGAAAGGAGAAGGAATTGAAATAAGTGACAAAGGTAAGAATGAAGGAGGCTTTCTGTTAAGTGGATGTGTCTGGCAATAGTCTTGCACAGTTGTAGTTATTGCTTCTAAATAGTTGTTTCTGTCCGTTGTTATAAGCAAATCATTTGTTATAAACCTCAGTTAGGCATTTTGCCAGCAGGTTGATTCCTTTTAACATATTCCACAAGAATTCACAAAGCAATCAGCTCTAAGACCCTGTCTACATTAGAAAAGGTTTGTTGGGAATCTGGGGAGGATGAATGGAGATGAAGCTTATAACTACAGAAGAATAATTTACTGCTCTAAAGTGATACTGGCAAAAGGCCTTTTTTTTGCTGGTAAAACAGCATCCATGTAGGGGCCTGGGTTAGCTAAGCTGGTTGAAGGTAAAGAAAGAAAATCACATACCACCAAAATAATATAGCCATGCTGGCAAGCACTTTAAGTGTAGGCCAACCTTTATCGAATGTTAGTCAGGCTGTGTGCAAGGCCTACATACACTACATAGTAGTTCCAGTTAAACAATATCCAAGTTCTTCTTAAACTGGAATTCTTCTGATGGATTTTCATTGTGGTGAACATTTTCTAGTTTCTCAGTGGAAAAAGTAGAAACCCACACCTTATAGAATCATAGAATCATAGAATAATAGGACTGGAAGGGACCTCGAGAGGTCATCGAGTCCAGCCCCCCGCCCTCAAGGCAGGACCAAGCTCCGTCTACACCATCCCTGACAGATGTCTATCTAACCTGTTCTTAAATATCTCCAGAGAGGGAGATTCCACCACCTCCCTTGGCAATTTATTCCAATATTTGACCACCCTGACAGTTAGGAATGTTTTCCTAATGTCCAATCTAAACCTCCCCTGCTGCACTTTAAGCCCATTACTCCATGTCCTGTCCTCAGAAACCAAGAGGAACAAATTTTCTCCTTCCTCCTTGTGACACCCTTTTAGATATTTGAAAACCACTATCATGTCCCCCCTTAATCTTCTTTTTTCCAAACTAAACAAGCCCAGTTCATGAAGCCTGGCTTCATAGGTCATGTTCTCTAAACCTTTAATCATTCTTGTCGCTCTTCTCTGTACCCTTTCAAAAAAGGGTACCTGTACCTTGTCAAAAACATTTTTAAAAATCAGTTTGGGGGGAGGGAGGCTGTCAAAATGTTATGGGGGTTTTAAAAGGAATTTTTTTTCCTTCAAAATTTGCCACAAAAAAACAATTGGCATTTTCTGACCAGCCCCCACTTCACCTCTTAGCAATTTACACATTCTGTAGCCAGTCTTCAGATCGCTAAGATTCCATTATTTTTGTAAAATAGTGTTTTGTGGCATTTACTAGCCTAGTGTATGTCAACCAACGGTCAGGGCGGTGGGTGGGTGTGTGTGTGTGTGTGTGCATGCGCGCGCGCTATACACCCGAGACTTCAACTGCTGAGACCGGGGTCCCTTGCAGCGGGCAACCTGGAGAGGAGGTTGACGAGCACCCCAATAAGTTTGCAGGGAGAGCTTATTACACTTCAGATTTTAGCTGCTAGAATCTGTGATTCCTTCACAGCGGGCAGCCTGGGGGAGGCTGAGAAGTGCCCCAACGGATCTGCCACCTGGGTGTGACACAAATCCAAACGCCCAAGCTCTCCCTATATCTGTCCCTTAAGACCAGCTGAAGTTCTTTTACATTGTGCCTGGTTCTGTTACAGCAACTGAAGGAGTCAGGTTAAAGCTTAAACAGTTACAGGTTTATTGAGGAAGCTTATAAATCATATGGTTGCAATGGCTATTGTTCTATTTCTTAACTGCTAGCAAAATATAGATCTTAAAAATGGTTACAAAGAAGATAAAGATAGGAAAAACAGAAATAATAGTACCAAGTAACAGCTTAACCTTTAAAGAGCTCTTAGTCTGTGTACACTTAAGACAGAGGACCACATCCAGGTACAATTTTTACCCCCTTCTGTGCCTCTCAACTCCAGCGTGTCAGGCCAGGTC